TCATAGAAGGGCAAAAACCCTGTCCCTGGCCTGAAAGATCCCACATTTTATTGGGGGGAGATATGTAAACAATTATGTATATGCACAATATATACAGAGTAAATGGAAGGTAATCTCAGAGGGAAGGCACCAGCCCAGGATGGTTGGAGAAGGGCCATCTGCAGAAGGTGGAATTTGAGCTGAGTCTGGAAGAAAGTCAGGGAATCTAAGAGAAAGTGAGGTGGGAGAGCATTCCAGGCACGAGGGACAACCAATGCAATGATGTTGAATCAGAAGATGAAATGTCATGTTTGAGGAATAGCAAGGAGGCCAGTGGGGCTGGACCATAGAATGAATGAAGGAGAGTAAAGCGTGAGAAGACAGGAAAAGTAGGAAGGGGCCAACTGGTGAAGAACTTTAACCAAACAGAAGCTTTTTTTAATTTTTTATTTTTTAATACATATTGGAGGTGATACATATTCACTGGAGCTTATTAAGCAGAGAGTTGACATAGTGAGACTGGAGCGTCAGGAAAATCAGTTTGGCTTTGTGAAGAAGTCTAGCTGAGAAAGGGAGGTGTCATATAGGATGACAACTGATGTGGATGGCAAATCAAGTGAGGGTTTGCTTGTATATATGTATGTTTGTTTGTTTTAACTATAAGGGAGACATGGATGTAGTTGTAAGTAACAGGGAAGGAGCCAGTAGATGAAGACAGAATAAAGATCAGAGAGTGAGGATGATAATTCAGTCATTTTTTTCAGTCATATCTGACTCTTCATGACCCCATTTGGGGTTTTCTTGTCAAAGATATTGGAGTAGTTTGCCATTTCTTTCTCCAGCCCATTTTTCAGATGAGGAAACTGAGATAAACAGGGTTAAGTGAGTAGGGTCACACAGCTAGTAAGTTTCTGAAGCCAGATTTGAACTCAGGAAAATGAAGCTTCCTGACTTCAGGCCTGGCACTCTATCCACTGAGACACCTAGCTGTAGAGGAACGTAGAGGAATTGGCCTTTGCAAGGAGAAGGCCCACATCCTCATGCAAGACTGATGTTAAGGAGGACATAGCGGGGAAGATATGTGAGTGATGTAAGATGGAGTGTGGGGAAGTGAGGTCTCAGTGAATGATTTTGATTTTTTTCAGTAAAGTATGAGGCTAGGTCCTTAGCTAAGAGAGTGGCTGGGTTGGAGAAGGGGAAATGCAAGTGGGAGGATCCATTAAAGACTGTCTGATAGGTTTGGGATAGCAAATCAGTTAGGGAGATGTAAGGATTGCTTTGCTGCATTGAGGTCAAGTTGAGATTATATAAAATTGTAACGGATCCAGGCGGCATGGTTTCGTGATTTTTCTCCAGGTCTATTCAGCTGCATATGAATTAAAATGTAGAGAGTAAATAGTAGGTATAATCCAGGATTGAGGTTTGGCAAGGCACGATCATCAACTAGACAAGAGGCAAGGGATTCTAGAGAACTTAATGTAGTGCAGAAGTGGGTCAACAAGAAGTCTTCACTTATCGAAGCCTTCTCTTACAGGAGCATCCTTCAACCAATGGCAGGCTTGAAGTAACAAGTGCTCGTTATGGTCCTTGCTGTATTCTTACCCACATCAAATTTTGTCTGTTTGTCTGTTGTTTACCTAAAGCTCTAAACTCAAGAATATTAGGGAAAAGATGCAGAAAGACCATTAGGCCGAACATATTATTTGTTACTATTTTGGGAATAGATTAACTGTGGTATTCATAATGCTTTTCCAGTGCCCCCTCCTTAAGCCTAATCCCAACCCTCCGCACTACCATCTTTCAGCTCCAGCGCTTCTGGGTTGAAGTCTCTGTTCCTGAGGCAAAGCAACCAAGCTTTCCTTGAAGGAGTGTTAAAAGACATTCATCCCTTAGAGACTGCACAAATCCTTCCTAGGAAAGTGGTTCATACCTCTTTTAATAAAAGCATACTTCAGGTTGACAACTTTTGATAGCATTTATTTTTTTCCCCTGCATTTTTTTTAAAGAATTTATTGATATCCTTTGTTTTTGCATTACCTTCATTTCAGACTATAGACTTCCCTCCCTTCCTTACACAGGAACCTTCCCTTGTAACAAAGAATAACAAAGAAAGAAGGAGAGAAAGCAATTCAGCAAAAATTACTATCTCTGTGTGTTTGCAATACAGCCTTTCCCTGTTTTAGTGGAAAGTGTGTATAAATATGAAACACAGGAGTGAGGATATCCAGTAGTTAACGTTACAGTCAGTAAGACTCTTGCATGTGTCTTCATGTTCTAGTTCATTCCCCACCAAACCAATTTGAAAAAAAAAAAAAGAAAAAGAAAAAAAACCTGTGTAGACATAGTTCCTGTTCGTTGCTTTGCAGAGCCTTTAATGCGTCCTCTTTTGAGGCGGGAATAAGCTTTGGCTTCAAAAGGAGAGTGAGGTAGGAGGAGATTGGGTTTGTCCAACACTTTCTAAAGCAAAGGGAGTTTGTTACTACACTTCAAGGTGTTTAACAAAATCATTTGCATTTGAATGCTGATCCCTTTGAGTATGGGGCACACAGGAAACAGGCTTCTAAATGATAGATAAACTCTCCCTTTCTACAGGGAAGCTTCAAGTCAGGGCAACTGTGCTCTGGCCCCAAGGCTTAAGCCAAATCCTCTTCAGATCATAGTTAATGCTGCACCTGATTCTACAGCAGCTGCTGCTTTTGAACAGTATGATGCTTCTCCTGCCCCAGAGGACTTGAAAGTAGCCTTTCTGCAGCGCTTTCAGCCTTTGTAGATGCAACGAGAAAAACACAGGTTGTGAGATGAACCCAGGATTCCAGTTTGGGAATTCACCACCCAGCACTTAGCAGTCAGTGAGTTGAACCATTTGTCAATGCTTCCCTTCATAGCCATGGTTTAACTAGAAGAAAAGGTGACTATCTCAAATGGTGAAATGTTTGTGCAGAAATTTTTCCAGATGATACATTTGGTTATAGTGTTTGTTTTTTGTTTTTTTTTTCCTACGAATGTATGAACATCTGATTTTTTTTTTCCAAGAGGTTATTCAAATCACTTCTCTATAAGGGAGGGGCCTGGAAGGGAGGAAAAGTGACGAAGCAGGTGTGTGTGTGTGTGTGTGTGTGTGTGAGAGAGAGAGAGAGAGAGAGAGAGAGAGAGAGAGAGAGAGAGAGAGAGAGATTTCTTGAAGATCAGTTTCAATAACATCATCCTTAAAAATAAAGACATTTAGGATAGAACTTCTGCTTCACTGAATTGCCAAGGCGACCTTTAGGGCAACCCTGTTAATCTTGGAGATTACAGGAAGGTCAATATAGCCACTGATCCATCCTTTCCTGTGACCTAGACTGGAATGCCACCCACTAACTCTCATGCTTTTCAAGTCAGTTTCCTCTAAGCACAAGTCAGCTCTTTTTATTTTTTGCAATAGAGTAACCTGAAACCATACTATAGCTATAAGAGCACTTACTGCTATATATCCCAAAGGAAGTGAAACTTTATGAAGGTTATGAAAATTAGGATATGGTCATTGTGAAATCTCAGGGTATCTTTTAATTGAACCCTCATAGATATTCACTTATCCTGGGCTAGGATAAAATTGAGCAGGACCTCATTAAAGAAAATATCCATATATGACTAGGGTAGGTGAGAGATGCAGGAATATAGGTCATGGTTTGAAAATAAATAAATAAACAAAAAAATAAACTATTACATCCTGATATGTCAATAGAAGCATCTTTTCCTGGGCTGTAGCCCTGATAGGGGCTTGGGATTCATTACACATTAGGTTTATTTTGGGACTCACAGATTTAGAGCTGGAAGGCACCTTAGAGACTATCTAATTTAACACCCATATTTTATAGATGAAGAAGTTAAGAGGCTTGCCAAGGTCACATATATACTAAGGTGCAGAACTGGGGTTTGAACTCAGTTCCTCAGATTCCCTTATTCATTGCTCTTTTTTCTATACTCTGCTGCATTTTCTGAGAGGCAAGGGCTTGGGGTGAGATGCATCAATGAAAAATGTAGGTGTATTCTCTGTGCACAAAGACTTGGCATAACAAAAATAGCTTTTGCACCACAAAAGCTATTAAGTATAAACCAGTAATAATTGATATAATTTAGAAGATAGAGGTGTTGGTGGCACAGTGCTTACTCTTGAGAGAGCCTGGCACCTACCATTTCTGGAAGAAGTATTTGCATCTTTAATATTCAGTGTGATTGCAGAAGAATACTGTGGTTGTTTCATGAAAGGAACTCTCCACCCCAATGCTGAATGGATGTGGTTAGATATTTAGGTAGTTTTCTGCCCTGTTTCAATAGCTGTGAATTTCAAGGGGGAATGGAATAGCTTCAGTGAAAAGAATGCTGAGGGGAGAATCATGTTTTTTGCTGCCATCTACAGATGTCAAAGTGCATTTCTATAAAGTCTCAGCAAAGAAAACAGGTCATCCTAGAGCAGAAATGAATGAAAATGTGTCTAAAAGATTTTTAAAAATATATTTCATAAATATATCCTGATAGTAATAACATTTTGAGTACAGTATTGGAGTATTTTATTTTGCTTACTCTTCTGGCTAAAAATGTTATCTGTAGCAATCAGCAGTATTGTCTTTTTAACATTTCAAATTATCAGAGTGAAAATTTGTGTTATTATGAATGTCACAACACTGGAATACTGGAAGTATTGATATCTAAGGTCATGTCTAGCTCTAACAGTCTGTAAGTCTATGACATATTCAGAAATGAGTCTGAGGGTTGTCTTTCAGGGATAGTTTAGCTTCAGTACTGACTGTAAGAAGTGTGATTAAAAGTGAGTTGTAGGGAATTTTATGAGGATGAATGATAAACTGGATAACCTTTTAAGGTCCCTTCTATGACAGACCTGCTGGGGGAAAAATGATTTAGAATAACATATACTGCAGTAAGATGGTACCTTTAGCTGCTTCTGCCCTCATGTTTCATTCGTATATTTGCCAGGCTTATAATGACACCTTGCAAACATCTTTTTGTATTATTACTTAAAGGGTCAAATTTAGACAGGGATTACTGGAAAAGCGCTGGATGGAGAGAAAAGAAATGGCCATTAAGGAAACAAAGGAACAAGAAGAAAGAGAGAAGAGGCTAGAGGCCCTCAGGAAACAGGTGGTTTTGTTTAATTTGAGTATTTGAATATGCAATTAAAGATGCTTCTAAATACTATAATGTGATAGCTACTAAAGTTAATTTCAAGACATCTGCTTTTTGAAGTCAAACTCTTCAGAATTTGGATACATTATAGGGATTTAGATCTAGATGACACCTAGTTCACATAGGTCACCTCTTTTATTGGAAAGATATGAAAACTGGGCATCAGACAGTAGAAGTGAGAAGTACCTTGCTGGTCACTCAGTCAGCCACAGAGCTTGGATTCCAACCCAGATTTTCTAGTGCTCTTTCTAACGCAGACCTTCACTCAAAGGAGAAGAGTTGTTCATTGAAATCACATTTATGTTATCTGAAATGGCCAGTTCCTGAGTTTATTTAAACTTCATCCACACCTTTAGAAATCTCTCCTAAGACTCAGTGCCTCCATGTCACCTCTAGTTTGTTAACACTTTGATAATAATTGAGAGTAGTAAAATTCTGCCATAATAGCCCAGGGATTAAAACAGTTGCAAAGAAGCTGTTAGGCCTTTGCCTGGGCTTTGAGACGTCCTCAATTCAAGAGAACTTATAACTGCTTTTTAAATACAACATTTCTGCAGAATTGAGGGTTATGTAATAGTATTTAATACCTGAAGCAATAGTTCACTTGCTATGGGTATTGAAAGTAGATAACAAGAATAAAAAGTTAAGGGCTGGAATTTCAGGTCATGTGACCAACAAGATGGAGGACTAGACATTTTCTCTGACCCCATGATCTTTCAAACCTCTTCAAAACAGAAAACATACACCCAAAATAAAGTGAGTTCAGCCGTCTCCATGATCTAGCACACCAAGAATACAAGAGAAATTTTTAACAAATATACATGAACTGATGCCTACCCTGAGCTCAGTCAACAACCCTCCATCAATGCCTATTATGCTCCCAACAGCAAGGCTGCACTAACCAACCCAAGGACCCAACACATACGCTTGCAACAAAACTCAATTCTATACCCCAGTCCCCCCTTTCTCTTTCCAGTACTGTGGAGATCCTGGCTCCAGGATGCAGAAATTTGCTTGGACTGAGACAGTCATTTGGTGCCACACCAGCAGCTTTCTATGCTGCAAAAGATCTCTGTTGGAAAACAGTGGAACAGAGGCAAAGTGATAGGACAAATATTTGGGCCTGAGATAGAGCTCAACCCCCTCCCAAAGTCCCTACCCCAAGCCTTAGAAACCTAAACTACAGAAATAAACCCATGACTTTTAGTGCCAGATGAGAGGACTGAGGAACAGAGGGAGTAGGACAGGGGACTAGGACAGGACATTGGATGTGAGGCACTGTGAGGAACTTCATTAAATTTTAGGGAAAGAGTACTATGTTCAGCTGGGGCCATTTCTGTTCCCTAAAGTGTTGCTTGGAGCAGAGACCTAGGCTAGTAAACTGTGAATTGCCTAGAGTAGGAGGAGGCTGAGATGCTTTGAAATCCAGCTTCCAGAGAAACTACCATCAGAGGGGAGGGAGTCAGGAAGTGAGCAACAGGTGGAAATAAGTGCCGAAAAAGACTAACTTATCCAACATTTCAGGAAGGAGAAAAACTCTAAGACCTTGAACATAAGCAGATAAATCAACAGGGAAAACATGAACAGATGAAGAAAATATGGTCTCCAGATCTAGTAAATGAATAAATACTGTGAACTGAAGGAAAACAATCCAATGTTTGATAAGACAGAGAACCCTGTGAAATTTGAGGAGAACATAGAACCACAATACACTATTCCTGAGTGGTTAAAAGAGAAATGAGAATTATGAGAGCAAATTTTTTGCCTACACAACAAAAATAATGTGCAGGATAGTCTGCACATTAAGTCTGCTGCAATGGCAAGTCTCACCAAAGACTCAAAAGAGAGAATAATAAATTAGAGATGCAAATATACATAAATGAAGGGTGATCTAGAATAAGGAAGCAAAAAATAATAACATTAAAAGAAAATATGGTCATTATCCATGCAAAACATACTATCATACTAAGTATGCACTAAACATAGTACATCGTACACAGTACTGAACATACTAAGACAGGTTGTATAAAGAAAACCAAAGGATCATAGGTCTTCTAGAAGAACAAGACAAGACAAAAAAACAAAAAACAAACAAAAAAAAAACCAGCACCTGAATACCATATTGTAAGAAATAATACAAAAGAACTGCCCAGAACTTCTGAACTTAGAAAATGAAATGCCAATTGAAAGAATTCATAGATTGCCTCCAGAAAAACACCCAAAGCCACAAATTCCAAGATATATGGTGTTTGAATTTAACAATTTAATTAAAAAACAACAAAGTTCTCCAAATGATCAAGAGAAAGACCTTCAAATACAAAGAAAAGGAATTTTTTTTTCTTTTTGTATGGGTTTACATTTGAACTGTCTTATCATAGAAGCACAGGATTTAAAACTAACTAGAATAATATGGAGACAATGTGGTAGAGGAGAAAAAGTGCTATTTCTGGAGTCAGAGCAATTAGGCTCAAATTCTGGCTCTGATCCTTGCCTGTGTGACCTTGGGCAAATCACTTAACCTGGCTCAGCCTCAGTTTCCTCATCTTTAAAATGAGGGTATTGGACTAGGTGGTCTTGAAGGTCCTTTCTAGGTCTTGGTTTATGATCCTGTGAGGAAGTCATCTAGTCATAGGTTCCTAGATATGGAGCTAGAAAGATTCTCAGAGGCCATCTGGGTAAACCCTCTCATTTTACAAATAAGAAAATTCAGGCCCAGAGAGGTCAAGTGAATTTCCCAAAGTCACACATACACACACACACACACACACACACACACACACGCACACACACACAGAGCAGAGTCATTATTTAAACTGATTTTTCTGACTCCGAATTCAATTTTCTTTACACTAATACACCATGATTATATTATGGAACTACTAAGCATTTGCTTAGAGGCATATAAGTTACTTTGATTCTTTATACTTTTCTGGGGTGTGATGGGGGTGGAGGTCGGGGAGGACATAGTAGCTGTGACCTGCACCCCCTGAAAACTACCTAATGATCTGGTACAATGGGAACTGGTTCAACCAGAATCTAAAGATACTCTGAACCCTTGAATTTAATGCTACCCTTTAGTTTACCCAAACCTCCTTTACTCCGGATTGACTTAAAAGAGATTGTGCTCACGAGAGAGCTGTGTCAGCCAGTTTTCATAGTCACATTTTACCAAATGTGCAGGATATTGATGTTGAAGTGAAACTTTGTGATGCTTGTTAGGTATTTGCAGGGACATAAAAATTAAGTCCACTTGCCATTTGCACTTCCCTGGGTTGATATTGCTCTATTCATTTTTCAACAGCCTGGAATCAGAAAGAGAACCAAGTTAGATTTTTAAGTATATGGTCTCATGATCCTGTTTTTAACTATTGATTGCAGTCTTGAGATTCTTAATTTGAAATTAATCTGCTTTGTAGGTTTCTAAGATAGGTTTTGTGGTTTTATTATTATTCATTTTATCTTCTCCTCTGGATTTTTGTTATATTAATCAACTTTTCAGGCTTTAGTACAAATTGGTTAAAGATAACTAAAAATAACTAATTTGCTTCTGCATCATTTAGCTTTGTTGCACATTCTAATTAGCATCATTTTCTGTTCTGTTAGGTTTCCATTGTGGCCCAAGTTGATCATGTTAGAATGATGGCAGATACATTGGCCTCAAAAGCCAGAATGGGAATTGGAACCGAAGAAGAATTTGTTCTTCAAAAGCCACTCTTCAAATTGAATACATATACAGAACCCCAGGTCATTGTTATATTTGGTGGATTGTGATTTGAGAAAATTAGAATGATCAGGGTGGATAACTGTGCTGTGCTAATTATGATTAGAGTCAAACTAGCCTGGGGCAATTGGGGCTCTGTTCAAGATACTTTTATGTTGAAGAGAAGCAAGACCTCCCTCCAGCCCCACCACCTCTGCCCCTTGACCCAAAAGACTCATTTCCTAATTCCTTCTTACCCATTTGGGGTTGCTGTGACCTGAGGTCCATGTCCTTCCTGTCCCTATCCCAAACCACCTTCTCCCCTGGAGTGGAGTAGAGAGTTCCCTCTTCTCACTTTTGAACATTGGTTTGGGGGCATCTGTTGGGAGAGGGGCTGGTCACCATGGATGAACTAAGAAGATTGACTTGGAAAGGAAAAGGCCAGGTGGCCTACTACCCCTCTCCCATTCCTCTACCTCACTTAGTAAAGTCAGCCTTATCACTACCCATTTCCCTATCTTCCTCTGCCTCCATTTCCAGTATGATCTTCCTACCTTTCTAGCCTTCTTATACCTTACTCTCCTCCATGTCTAATTACACTGGCGTACTTGTAGTTCCTCCAACTTGAAACTCTTTCCCTGATCTCTGTGCCTTTGAACTCACTGTCTCTTATGCCTGGAATGCTCTTCCCCCTCACCTCTGCCCCTTAGATTCCCTGGCTTCCCTCAAGACTCAATTTAAATTCTAACTTTTGCAGGAGGCCTTTCCTAGGCTTCCTACCCCAAGCCAGCTAATACATATTATTATTACCTTTCAGGCTACCCTTATCTACTCCATATATGTCATATAAATATAAACACACATATACACATATATACATATATATACACATACATATGTATGTGGTTATTTGCATATTATCTCCCCCTTTAAAATGTATGATTCTTAAGGCAGGGATTGTTATTGGTTTTTGCTTTTATTTGTATCTCCAGTTCTTAGAACTAGTGCAGTTCTTGATATATAGTAAGAGCCTTATAAATGCTTGTTGACTGATTGTTTGACCCTTTAGAACCCACCCCTGGATCAGCTACTTACCAGCTATATGATCTTAGGAAAGTCACTTCTCCTCTTTAAGTCTAGTTTTCCCATCTATAAATGAGGAAGTTAAATTAGATGACCTCCAGTTTCCTTTCTGACTCTAATTCTATTATCCCAGTTCTCTTCCTCTCACATTCCTACCATCTTTCTGGTGCGCACTGAAATCTAACTTTCTCTTGAAAGTAGCTCACACCTTGGCATCCAACCCCAGCTGTTCCTTCTCCCACACATTCTAACATGAAGAGCCAGCAGAAACTGGCATATTTCTTGTTCCCTCTTGCCACTTTTAGGTCCTCTCTAGTCTGTCATCACTCAGCAACTACATCTAGTTCTTTAAAGTTCATTCTTCCTGTCCAGATCCTTGTTATAGTAGAGTATGGACTCCACGTAGTTCTCCCTGCTCTCTGATAAGTTCAGTAGCTGGATCACAATCTTTTTTCTCATCCTGAATCCTTACCAATTCAAATAACCTTGTCTCCGAACTCTTCAACCTTTTCAACACTCACGACCTCAGTCACATGTTTACCTCAACAAAGCACATAATATACCTTAGATCCAATCCTCCCTGCAAATGAACTTACCCCAGTTGTTAGGAATCCTATTTAGGTCTATGATGATGACAAAGTAAAGCTCTTAAGCTATGAATTGTCTTCTGGCATTTGAAAACTGTGGTTTGAACCATCTTTGTAGTCAAGATGTAATACCTAATTAGTGTATATTATTTCATAATAATGCTAGTTAATAGAAAATATTTGAATAAATAGTTAATACCCAAACTGTTTATGTAAAGTTATTTTCAAAATCTATCACTGACTTTTTTTTTTAACCTTTGCAAATGTAAAAGAGAATGTATCTTTTAAATTCCCCTTGAAGGGCTAATTTTATGCTTATATTTGGTTGCTTAATACTCCTATACTGCACCAAAGAAGGTCCTTCTAGTTCAATGTTCTCATAATGTGGAAATTATTTTTAAATCTTTATAATCCTTTAAAAGGAAACACTGATAAAGCTTTCCTACATCTTTTTTCTATTTTTGGCTACATTTTTAAAAACTATTTTGACTATTACAAATACCCAAATTTACTACAAAGGACATATGAAGAAAGATGCTATATGCATCCAGAAAAAGAACTGATAAATAGAGAGATGTATAGAATGCTTTTGCATACACATACACAGAGATTTGTGTCTAATGGTAGCCATCTCTAGGGTGGGTGGGGGAGAGAAAAAAAAAGAAATGTATGTGATAACTTTATTATATATTTAAAAGGAATAGCAAGTTGTACAAAATAGATTTTCAGTCTCATATATAATAATCTTTTAAAAATTATATTGTTATGGAAATGCTTATTTTATTCCATAAATTAAAAATAAAATAAATTTTAAAAAGAATTAAAATAGATGGGAAATTTTATGCATAAGGAATATTGCTTAGCATAACAAAAAAGTAGAGTACCTACTCTTTTTTTTTTGGGGCGAGGTATTCGGGGTTAAGTGACTTGCCCAAGGTCATACAGCTAGTAAGTTTCAAGTATCTGAGGTCAGATTTGAACTCAGGTCCTCCTGACTCCAAGGCCAGAGCTCTATCTATTGTGCCACCTAGCTGCCCTGAGAGTACCTGTTCTTTAGAGTAACAGGATTAAAGAAGGCCAACACTACACATAAATATGCAAATGTGAAGGCTTTGAGTTTGTGTCATATAAGGATAGTTTGAAGGAACTGAGGATGTTTAGCCTGAAGGACAGTAGGAAGAGGAACCCACCGCTTCTCTAGGCACCCCATCCAACTTTTGAACAGCTGTAATAGTTTGTGATCCTAAAATCAAACTGAAATTGAGCTCTTTGCAACTTTTGCCCATTACTCATGGTTCTGTCCTCCAATCTTTCCTCCAAACGACAGCTCCAGTTTAGCTGGAGCCCATTTGTCAGGTAAGTCAAAGTGATCATTTCTTTCATTTATGGGTCAGACTAGGTAGTTGCTGAAGACCTTTCTAACTTTCAATTTCTGTGATTCCTTAGACCACGAAAAAAAGTACATGTATTTGGCTTTTGTGAATGAATAAATATCTTTGAAAGATTTTTGGTGTACGAGACTATCTCAAACCCTGCCTTAATTTTTTTTTCAATGATTGCATGTTAACTATCACGAACCCTTCTAATTCCTTAAAGAAAAAAAGGGGAAAACTCTATCAGTGTTCTTTTTATTGGATTGGAATACTTAAAACAAAACAAAACAAAACAAAAAAACAAACCAACTTTCCTTCCTAAACCAGTTCTCCCAGAGTTTCTGGTTTCTGTTAATGGCATTCCATTTGCCTAGTCATGCAGGCTATCTTAAGATTCAGTCTTCTATGACAGCTCCCCTTTCTTCTCAAGCTACCCTAATTTAATCCTTCCAATCTTAATCTAAGGCCTATCCAGTATTCAGTAATAATAAGAGCTAACATTTGTATCGTGCATTAAGGTTTGCAAAATGCTTGATCCTCACAACAACCCAGGGAGGCAAATACTATTATCCCAATTTTATAGGTGAGAAAACTGAGGCAAACAGAAGCTAAGTGATTTGCCTAGAGTCACAGAGCTAATATGTGTCTGAGGCAGGATTGAACTCAGGCCTTTCTGACTCCAAGTCCTGTGCTCTATCCTTTGCATCTCCTAGCTGCTTTTACTCAAATGATCTGTAATCTCATAGATGAGGGCATTCCCTCTGATAATGGATATTAAAATACCTTCATACCTGCCTCCTCAGTGCTGATCTTATCCTTGTCTTCCAATGAGTTTGTCACAGGGAGGTCAACCTAGATAAATGGTTGGGGCCCCCATAGTTTTTGCTTGGCATTAGGAAGATACTAATGAAGCAAAAGAGATGTCCACTAATTATCTCTTGTTTTTACCACATGACCAGCCCATCTTTTTTGCTCAAACATTTCTTCTGTGGCATCTTTTACATTGGTTCGCCTTCATAATTTGTTGTTTGTGTCATATGTTGCAGTTTGCTGCACCACCATGTTCCTGTTAACTTTTGGATAAAATTCATTTTTAGTTCTCTAGAGATTATATAACTTGTAGCTATACAACAAAACCAAGTTAATATTGCTATTTAAAAGGCTGGTTCTTTGTTTCAGGGAACAATTTAGGATCATTAAAAGAACTTTGTAATTTTACAAAAACAATCCGACCCATCTCCTCTGCCCATTAAATTCTGGGCCCAGCTCAATTTCCATTTGCAGTTTGTGTTTCATGTATACATATACAAACATGCATGTGTGGACCCATACATATATCATGTTTTTGATATGAGTACGTATCAATCTAGAAATTCGTCATTCTTTATCCACTTAGTTTTTCCTAGGTAGATAGGCCAAATTTTGAGTGATTATAGAGGTCATGCAGGAAACTTTTTGATGTTCTAAGATGTGATGCAATCATCACAATGTCATCTACAAATAGATGCATCTGGAGGACCTCACTATCTTAATAGGAATTACCCCTTCAACTTGGACTCATAAGCGTCACTATTATAGTAGTTGTAGTTATCACATACTTCTTTGTATTTTATTTATAGATGCATGTATTTTTTTTCTCTTACTAGAATATAAGTTCCTTGGTGTTAGAGACTATGACTCCTTGTACATCTAATCTGCTTCCATCATTAGCATAGTGCTTTGTACTTGGTAGGTATTCAGTAAATGTCTGAATGCTGAACTTTTCATTGAAAAATCAAACATTTTCTATTCTACTATATTTTTGTGCATTTCTACTAGACAAATGATTTTAAGGGTTTGGAGATTTCATATTTTTATCTAGTCATTTCATTTTTGTTTCCTTTTTCTTTAAACTTATGACTCCCTTTTCATCATCTGGGAGGACTTCAATGACACATGAAAGTCTTCATTTGCTAAAATCTATATGTGGTCAACTTCTTATCATTGTATCTCTTGGCACTTAACATTCATAGACTGAATGTAAGAGGAATAGGGTCCAATCAGCTGTAAATGAAAGAACAAAACTGAATTACTCATCTGTCTGTTCCCACTTAAAATCAGATTGATGGAGACATTGCCAGTCCTGCTTAAAATAGAAACTCAGTGATTTATTGGTTAAGTTGTATTGACTTATTTTCTTTCCAATAGTTGCTATTTATTTAAACTTGATCTATACATTGTCAAATCATTATGTGAAAATCTATTAAATAAATATTGGTACCTACTTTAATATCAGTGCAAGGAAAATGGAGCTTGGCAATATATATTTTGCCTCTGCAAGGAAGATGTTGTACAATTTTAGTCAATAAGTTTAGATATAAGGATAAACTGAAGCTAAGAAGATATTACCCCATCTCTTTGACACTTTAACTAATTAACAGTAAATTATTCACATGTAGTTTTTTATAGATCCAATGAGTTAACATATATAAAATGCTATGCAAACCTTAAAATATTATTTAAATGGTAGCTTTAAAAAAGTTTGAATTATATTACATGGCATTGATATTTTACTTTCAAAAGATTGTAAATAATTTTATTATGAACTACAATAACATGTTTACATACAAACATTTTATCTTCTGTAAAGAAAATGTGTATAACTTTGGAAACTATGACAGTGAATGTTGCTGGTATTCTTATTTAATTATATTTCATTTTCTTTCTCCAGATAATTTCTGACCCCAGACTTCGTATTGAGTTAGCTCTTCGAGAAGCTGGACTTCACAGAACACTTTATGCAAAAGAGATCTTGCCAAAAATTAGTCCTTACAAACTTCCAAGAAGAGACATGGCATCTACTGTCTTTCAGATGTAGACTTCAGTTGCAAGTCCCATCGTATACAAGCAAGAGCCTTCTTTTTGATTCAGATATAAACTATCCTCAAAAGAAATTTGTTAACTATTAATTTACTATGTCTTAGATACTTGATTATTAATATGTGGAGTGATTTCATTTGCAAATAAAATTCTTGTATGATTCTCATTACATATTGAATTGTTCCCCATATCTTTACAAAATAAAGTTTTGTTATCAGATTCCTTAAGAGTAGAATTTATGAAAGACATATATAGTATCATTTAAAAAGTTACATTTTGAGATTGATATTTTATATGATGAACACAAAATAACTTTGCAAAACAAAATAGTCATTGGAAAGAATTAGATAATATGTGGCTGCTGTCAGCTAGTCTTCATTTCCATTTGTTATTTCAGAATTTGACTTTTTAATTATGAAAGCTTCATTATCATTAATACTTCTATTATCCCTTGATTATTATAGGAGGAGACTCAACCTTTCTCTAAATTTAGAAACCAATTTGGTGCATCATGTTTACTGCAAACCAATCATCCAAGCAATTTCATTTTGCAAATTATTCCTTAAGAATAAATTAGAAACTAGAAATAGCATTTCAACCACAGGAATACTGAAATTTCTTTATTTTAGCAAAGAAAAATCTGTTGAAATAGATGGAATAATAAAAAGTTAACATTGTTTCAAACTCTCAAATTTCTAAATTATATACTCTCTGTCTCGATGATTCTGTAGAGAAACATAGGAAATAAAAACATGACAATTTTGTGACTTGATTTCTAGGAAACAACTAGATTTCTGTTGTTGGAATAACAAAGCATTGTTGTCAAGTGATATCCTAGGTGTGTGGGTGGTGGCAACACTACTGTTCCTACCACAATTGCTACTACTAATGGGAGCTGATAGGAGCCAGAGCCCAGATGGGAGAGTAAAGGGAGCATTCTAGCCAAACTCTCCCAACATCCTTCTCCAAACAACTTTAAAATGACCCATCCAATCGAATTTTAAAGTGGCATAACCAAAAAAAGGTCAGAGTGAGACATTTTTCCAGCTCAGGATTGGGGCTAGCCTGGAGCACAGTATAGTGGAGATACTAGTGGTGGGCCTTGGAGTCAGCAGCAACAGCAGCAACAGTAGTACCAGGTACTCTCACTATCCAGAGAGAATAAAGAGATTGGACACCCAGTGAAAAAGGAACTTACGAGGGACCCCTGTGCTAGCACAAGGCACAGGACTAAGTTCCCTTTGTCATCTCCATTGCTTATTACCCAGTTCTGCATCACAGAGGAGTGCTGGTGCCTGTGGTTGTAAGGAAGCAGGGACCTACCTGGATAAGGCTCATAGTGCAGACCTGTGACTACGCTTCTCCCAGATGACACCTTGGAAGTACCAAAATTCATCAAAAAGAAAAGTCAATCAATATTTATCGAGAATCAATGATTTACAAGGCACCATTAAAGATTCAGTCCCTTATCCCCTAGCATTTATGACCTGGTTGCATAGACAAAATAAATACACATAATTCTACATATAAAATTGTGGAATATAAAGACCAAGTGATGGTACAGACATTAACTACTTACAGAAATTCAGAAGACAGAGGGATTATTGTGGTCTGAGATGAGCTAAAAAGCCTTTGTCGAGAAAGTGAAAATTTAGTGGGGACTTGAAGACCAAGTAATGGTGAAAAAGGAGACCATTCCAGAAAGAACAATGGACTAAGCAAAGATCTCGAGGTAGGAAAGCACAATGATCAGCTAGGTGGCACAGTAGGTAGAACACTGGGGCTAAAGTTAAGAGTTTGAATCTGGCCTTAGATACTTCCTAGCTGTGTGACCCTAGGCAAGTCACTTAACCTCAGTTTCCTCATCTATAAAATGAGGATAATAATAGCACCTACCTTCCAAGATTGTTAGAACCAAATGAGATGATGATTATAAAGTGCTTAGCATAGTGCCTGGGACTTCCTCATTTCTTTCCTACTACCCAGAGACTGACCCAACAAGGTTCCCAGGGGTTTCTGCTCTCTTAAGAACACAAGGATAGGACTTATCTCCTTTGTGCTGGTCTTGAATGGTTAGAGTCATGGAGTGACACAGGGTCATTCAAAGAAAAGATCTTAGATATTGTAAGAAGGGAATTCTCTGGAGTATTCAATTCCTTACTCCTATTTGAATCATGAAAGTTGCGCAATCTTGTTTGCAATAATAGCCTTTCTCAGAGTCTCAGACTGTCTCCTGCAGGAATAGTGGCTGAGGAGGAGATGACTGTGACACTTGTATGGGTGCTCTATCTAAGAACGTACCAATATTCCTGTTCTCTTTCATTCTTTCAGTGATGATAGGTTACTCTACTGCCTGTAATGACCTGGTTGGACTGGTTTTTACCATTCATGTCCTGACAGGTGACTGTGACCTTGAAACCCAAGATATTTTGCTTTTTTCAGCCACTATGAAGTTGTGCTCTAATAACAAACACCTCATTAAACTCTCTTTCTTGTAGGGAGAATTGGAAATTAATGGCAGAATCATATAATAGATAGTCTTGCCAATTATACTGAGTAAGCCAAAGCATTGGGTCAAGTGAAATGAAGGAAAAATTGTATTTCCTCTTAGAAATTAGGAGAGAAAGAGAAATAGGCATCCTTCCTAGAGAGAAATCAGAGAAAGGGATTTATTTCAAGTAAATATGGTATTTTTTCTCTTTCACATCAATAATCAACAATCAATTAAAAAGTACTTCATTTCAAGACCTCTACATTCATAAATTCACATCATGACTCAGAAAGTCAAAAGGCCAAGAAACTACAGACAGATACTAAGTCAGAGGCAAGGAGATGCGAGATGGGTACATTTAATTTTTAAAAAAATAATTCTTTTTTGGGAGGTCATCAGTTTGTTTTTATCTGCATTTGGCTATGGCAGGAATGGGCTTATTTCCAACAGAGGCAGATGAACAGATAATATAATTTTATTGAGGCAAAAGGTGAAAATCCTACCCCTAAAATAAATTTAACCTCTCTGAGGGACTCTCAGTGCAGGAAACATGAAAGACTTCTGACTACATTGCTAAGGATTATGAAGTCCTGGGGGTTGGAGGGTCAGGAGAAGGAAACACTAGGAACAGGTGGTGTTTTTTATCACTACTGCCAATTAAAGGTAGGGGAGAAGAAGGTAGGTGTATTTTGGAAGTGGGTGGCTTTCTGAGAACATGGTGTTTGAGAATGAGATTTGATTACCTCAACAGCTGAAAATATATGGATAATGAACTCTTGGCTAGGGACAGAAATGAGAACTAATGCAAATTTATTTCCTGGAGTCTTGTGAATCTTATCTAGAAGCTTTAAACTGAAAAGGAATGGGAAGAGAAAACTTCCCAAAGATCTCTCCTCCCTATATCCCTTTGATTCAAAGTACCGTAGAAGGCTGCCTAAGTAAAAATTCTCTTGCCCATGCTACCCTATATTTCATGTCCCCATTTACCTAAACCTGTGCCTTCGTATAACCACTGTCCTCATTGATTGTGCTCTTTGAAACCCATTCTGTTGGTAACAAACTGATTTCTACAAGAAGCCCTTCATCGTCTTCCTTAATCTTAGTGCCTTTTCTTTCAGATTATTTCCAATTTACCTTTATATATTTTGTTCATATGTAGTTGCTTGAGTATTTTTTCCTCCATTAGACTTATGAGCTCCTTGAAAGCAGGAACTTTTAAAATCTTTTTATCCTCAACACTTAGCACAATGCCTGGCATGTAGTAGGTACTTAATAAATGTTTGTTGATTTGACTTGACACCTTTTTTTGTTTTTTTTTTTTGGGGGGGTGGTTAGGCAATGGGGTTAAGTGACCTGCCCAGGGTCACACAGCTAGTAAGTGTTATGTGTCTGAGGCCGGATTTGAACTCAGGTCTTCTGAATCCATGGCCGGTGCTCTATTCACTGTGCCACCTACCTGCCCCTTGACACTTTAATTAGATATATTTCTCTACTACTCCTTCCATCTTGCAATTATGGAAAGCTAACTCCCCTAGAAGACACATCCAGGATAGCTAGGTGTGTGTGTGGAAAAGACCAACCCTTTACCCTCTTATTCCCCCGCCCCAAACATCCTTAATCCTGGTTCCAAAGCCATCTCAGAATCCATCCTAGTTAGAGGAAAGGCTGTGGGTACCTTTGCTTTCACCTGGCTTTCCTCTTTCACCAAGGCTGTTTGATCAGATAGTTTGGGTAAGATGGGAGTCAATAACTCTTCCTTCAAATAAAATTGAGGACCATTAGGTCTTACTGTGTACCCTGCAACTGAACTTTCTTTAGTATATAGTCTTCCTCCATTAGAGTATGAGCTACTTGAGAGCAAGAACTGTCCAGCTTTTTCTATTTGTATTCCTAATGCTTAGCCAAGTGCTTGGCACATAGGAAGTGCGTAAAAATACCTTCATTTTTGGTCGTCTTCTCTAGTACAAGGTGTACCTTCTGTCATGCCATTCGACAAAATTGGGCCAGTAGAAAGAATAAGCTTAGTTTTGGCTCTTTGACACTATTTCCTGATGTTCCTTCTTCACTCAGTGATCTCTCTTCCTTTGACATTAACTCCATTCAGATATATCACCCCATTCAGATCTCAATGGCAATTATCTATTTTTGGATCATTTCCCTTTTTAAGGAGTTCAGTATCTGACTCACAGCATTTCTTTCCCCATTAACCCCTCCCCTTATACTTGAGGACTTCAAAATTCATGTTGATATCCTGTCAAACATCCCCCTTTTCAACCTCCTGACCTCCTATGTACCTTCCCTCCATAACAGCCACCTAGAGGAATGATCATTAATACCCTTGAATTTTTGTTGTTTTTCAGTTATTTCAGTCATGTCTGACTCTACATTATCCCATTTGGGGTTTCCTTGGCAAAGATACTGGAGTGGTTTGCCATTTCCTTTTCCAGCTCATTTTACAGATGAGGAACTAAGGCAAACAGGGTAAAGCAACTTGCCCAGGGTTACACAATTACTAAGTAAGTGTCTCAGAATGGATTTGAACTCAGGTCTTCCTGACTCCAGCCCCAGACTCTATCCACTATGGGAACTAGCT